TTCATTGTTAAATCACTTTAAGTGATCAATACTACTCAACTCACTCAAAATCAAATATTGGTAGATACTTACTTATTTTTCCAGGATTGTTAGAAATAAGTTTAAGTGGTTTTATAAATCTTGTCTTTCCAGGATGTTGGATACAAGTGTAATCACTTTGAAAGGATTGTTCTCATTGTTGACATAGTGAAAATCCGAGAGGATTGTTCTTGGTCCAAGAGGATTGTTCTTGGCTTTTTGGTAGTTCTTGTTTAGGTTTGCCACAATAAGGAAATTTCTTTCATGTTGAAAGGGGACTGGAGTACTCTCGGACTGTGAGGCAAACCAGGATATATCGCTCGTGTCTCTTTATTTTTCTGCACTTTACTCTTTTCTAAACTCACCATAATTCAGAAAAATAATATCCATCATCACTAAAACCAGAATTTTTTAAAGTACCTAATTCACAACCCCCCCCCCCCCCCCCCCCCCTCTTAGGTGCACTTCGTACTTACAAACGTGTTTCCTACAAAACCAGAGGTGACCACTTCTATTGTTGCATGTGCAACGGCCACTGTCGCTTATGTCCGTTTGAAATTGCTTCGTAAAACTCTTCGTTTTATGGATATATTATGGTTACTGACTTGTTGATATGTTTTGCATATCTCAAATAACTGCCATATGTTGAACAAAGGGAAGGTAATCCAAGGGCCCAAATATAGTCTGCATTAATCTTATCTTTTATATGTAAAATAGTAGTTGATAGATTGATTTTGATCGAATGTCTAGATATTTTGTAGGGAAATGATGTGGCCTTTGAACCTGCCATGCTCTTGTGTCTCATCCAACATGATTTTTCGTGTAAGTTCATAAATACTTCTATCATTTGTGTAGTTTTGTTTAATAAAAGTTCATAAATATTGTTATGTGGAGCTTGATTGTAAACAAATTTAGTTGTTTTACATTTGAATTGATATGAAAATGGAGTTTATGTACTGATTTCTTCAAAAGAATGCTTGATTTTTAGTTGTTATAAATCTTTTGATATTGTTGAAAATCCTATTGCCAGAATCGTATTTGTTTTAAATATATGAAGATAAACAATATTTGATATTTTCAACTTGGTATTAGTATATTTTCCGGTGGTTTTCTTCATGCTGTCATAGCAGAAATTATTTGAATTCTTTTGGAGGACAAACCTATTGACTTTAATTCTAATGTCATAATTATAATGAGAAGTCTAAACCCACACCTTGCCAAGGTTTGTTTCTAAAGACACGTAGTTTGAGATCTCAATTTGTGCGCGTGTCAGTTTGCTTTTTGTTGTTGTTTAGACACATAGTTTGAAAACTCAATATGTGTTTAGGCAGATAGTTTTAGAATTCAACATGTGCGCGCATTAGTTTATTTTTTGTTGTGTTTAATCAAATAGTTTGAGAACATAGCTTGAGAACTCAATCTATGCGCATGTTGTTTTGTTTTCTATTGTTGTTTAGACATATAGTTTTAGCTTATAAGTACATGAAACTCCATATTATGTTTAGAATTCTTCTTTCACTATTTGCTCATTTTGTTTTTGGTGTTTATGCAGGGGTTGAGTACAAGTACAAGTCTTGCAAGCAAGTTGTGTACAGAAAAGAAGAGTGAAGTTCAGTTATGGTGATAGAGATTGAAGATGGATATGAAGTGGAGAGATGAGAGAGTGTCGAGAGGTTGCTTCAATTTTCAGTGAAAGAGATGAAGCTCTTTTGGTGATTTTTTCAGAGAGTGTGAAGTTTTTTTATGGTGATTCTTCTCAGCAATTGAAGAATGAGAATAATTCAGGTGAGTGTAGGATAGATGTTGTAGAAATGTGTATGGTTGCATTAGTTTATGATTGAGTTTATGGATGTGCTTTATGTACTACTATACTTGTTTTGATTGGCGAAGACATTTATTAAAAGTTTTGAGCATTAGAGTTGTTTGAATTAATATTATCCAGTTAGTTGTTGATATTATGTTGAGTATCAACTAGTTCATAAATTAGATTACACTCAGAAAAAAATATTGTTTAAAATTCTACAATTTGAGTTAGCCTTGATACCAATCGTCTGAATATAAAAATGCATTTAGAAGTTATCAAACATCTTTTACTAAGTCATGCAAAACATGTTTGGATGAATTGGAGGAGTTAGTAGATGAATTACATGTAAAACAACAACCAAATCTTATCCCACTATGCGATGTCAGTTACATATAAATTTTTTCATCATTTTCTCTCCCGTAGAAATTATAAGGAGACAGGTAAATTTCAAGAAACATATGTTTATTACAAGTTAGAAACTTTACAATAAACAACTTGTGTTCCAGTTCAAAGTTTGTTACTAGTAAAACATCCTTGCAATTACAATGAACAACTTGTGTTCTAGTTTAAAATTTGTTACTAGTAAAACATCCTTGCAATTGCAAGGTTTGTCTATTAACATAGCAATCAATATTTTCAGAAATGGGTCTGATAAAACTATGTTGGCATTTCTGATCTATGTCTGGATTTTGTTTGGTATTGTGCTAACTAGTTTATAAGTGTAGATTGATGGGGCTAGAAAGTGACATTCCCTTCTTATTTGTTTCTTGGATAAAAATGTGATTGAAACCTCATGTGATACCTTGTCTATTTGTTCATTTGAAGTTGCGATAATTTTCTACACAAATCTTACAATCACGGCTCAAATATGTTGGGATACATCACTTGGGACTTTTGTATTATTGGCATGTGAGATTCCATGGTGAACAAAGTCTTGCAAGAAGAATTATTAGAAAGGCAATGGTTTTGTGAGCAGCAGTAATATCAATCTTCTCAAATTGAATGGTCAATTTGTTAGTTGTCATGATGTTAGGCTCAATGAATTGAAAGTATTTTGATATTCTTGAAGTTGGAATTGATTTTGCTTTTTTTTAAAAGGGATGGCAGGATTAAACAACATGGAAAAGATAATGCTCAAGCCCCGCTTGATTCAAATGAGCCTTAACCTAGAAAGTTTTTACAGGTTACTTATCACTTTTTCTCTCATGATCAAATCTCGTTTGTTCTTTGTTTTCATTTATCATTTACTTTTCAAAATGAGATAGTTCTCCCACTTGCTGTTGTGAACAATGCTCCTTTGTTTGGGAATTTCAAAGTGTGCTTATCTACTCATAATACTATGTTATTTTATGCATGCATTTCATCCGGAACAAAGACATCCTTTTAAATTTCACTTCCAATAATCATATTGTTGTCTTAAAAAAATTGTATATTTAGGTCTGAGACATAGAGAAGAAACTGTTGTCTGACATATATGTTGTTAAAGACGAAATCACTAGTTTTGCAATCATTCAACATAGCCTGTATATGTAAGTAATATCTCTAATTTGGAATAAGTTAACAAGAAAATAGTTTTTGAAAGACCTCCTAACGATATGAATACGTGTTGATAGGTATGTTGGACATTTTAATGGTAATATCAATTGTGAAGCTCGACCACGATCCATGGCATGTGAATTACTTTTATGCTTCCAATAGTGAGAGCTTCATACATCTTTTACTCTTTAGACTCCCTTTTAGATGTGAAAAAAAAAAGTAATTGTAATTATACATTATGTTGATATTTAAAATGATATGTGCCTTATCATTTTAATTTTCATTATAATCATTGATTAGAAATTTCTTGTGTTTTAAGTGATTGAATTTCTTTAACTAGTTAATTTTGCATATCTTTTTTCTTATCTTAGGCAACATTCTATATACTTGTAAGGCCTCTCGTAGTAAAATATTTGTTTCAGATTTTCATCTATATAAGTTATCTCAAACATAACTTTCTTTATCCTATTAAGCAATTACATAAATATATTATGAACAAATATGTTTAAATCTTATTTTATAATTTGTCAATGTTGGTACTTAAAAATTTACTTATAATTGAGTAAAAAACCTGCAGGATTTGAAAAAATGTATTTTTTTTCTTTTAGATATCACTTTTATCTACGGTCAAGTATTATAGTTCAAAATAATAACTTTTTTAAGAGAAATAGTGACAGACAACTGGAGCTGTAGGTAAAGGTGTAAAATGCATTGTCAATTTATAATTCAGCTTTTACTGACGGCAGAATGACATATAGTGAGGAATTTTGTCCATCACTACAGAGCAATTTTGTTGTAATGTTAAAAAAATAAAAAATAAGTGATACATTAACAATATAAAATAGTTTTACGCTGTCAACCTATCACAACTATATATTTAATTATATTCTATTTTTATTTTAAATTTTTTTTAATGACATAGGAAATTGTTAACTTTCTATTGATTGATTGTGTATAAAAAAATTTATACTGATATTGTATAAAAGTCATTCTCTTAAAAATATGTGTTTTAAAGATAAAAATTTATTTTTATTGTAAAAAAATTTTAATTTAAAAGGGCAACATTTTAGATGCAGTGTATTTTTTTTATAAGCATTTTAGATGCAATGTATGTTACACACTTTTTTCTGAGACATTTGTTGAAAGCTGTTGTTGGATAGTTTTTGTACTACAAAGGGTAAATTGCAATGGTTAACTATCCAGAAAGCATCGTTATCCAAATTTCAGATAGAACTCTAATAACTGTCCAAAAAAAAGTGATTAAAAAGCCAAAAAGAAATAGAAGGATTGGTGTACGTGGCAAATTATTGAGTTGGTATCATGTGTTTTCCACTGACTACACAAGAGACATTCTTAACCAAGAGTTAACCTAGATTCTAAAGACAAATGTAATAACTATTTAGTAAGAAAAGCAAATATTGAAAAAATATCTTAAAACTTGTTGTAAACTATTTAGTAAGAAAAGCATAGCATTTCCAAATAATCTTCTGATTCAAAATTCATTTCTCATTCTCCTTTTCATTTCCTCACTATATATATCTTCATTGCCCTTCTCCCGATTGTCCTCAAATCAAATTCATTTCTTTGTCTCTCTTTCTCTCAAAACTATTTGAAACAAAAAAATTTCTTTAAAAATTAAATAATGGAGAGAAATCTACCAGTAATATCAAAGAGAGTGTGGAGTGTAATCCGTATGGCGTTATTCATGCTGAGAAAAAAATTATCAAAGGGCAAAATAGTGACGGATCTAAACATGATTCTCAAGCGCTGTGGCAAGGTTGCCGGAAAAGCCATTGTCAATCTAATGCTCCATCATCACCACGGAGGGTCCATCTCAAACCGTCACTCCCATAACTCCTTCAATTCTTCTCAGGTACCGCCTACACCGGTTGGTGAGGCCATGAATATGAGTGCAATGAAGACAATACTGAATATGCTTAGCAATGATCAAGCTATTGTAGAAGCATCTCCAGCATTGTTTGGACTCGATCGTAGTCCAGCGGTGAGGCGATTGAGGGTAACTGACTCTCCATTTCCTTTAAGAGATGATGATGAGAAGGACAGCCAGATTGATAAGGCTGCGGAAGAATTCATAAAGAGGTTTTACAGCCAGTTGAAGATGCAAGTTTGATTGATTAATTAATGCTAATTAGTTAATAATGAGTTTGTAAACGTTTGTTGTGAATCTTAAGAACATGATATATAATCCATTGTTGATAAATGTATATGAATGAAGGTTTTTGATTCATGTTATTTATCCCTTTGCATATGTTTATTTTAACACTTGTTTATCAATAATTTTTTATTTAATATTATTATTATTTATCATATATAAATTTTAATAAAAATCAGATCAATACAAAAATAGAAGAAAAATGATCAACAAGTAAAGTACTATTTTTTTTAATTTCAAAATCAATCCTTTTAAAAATTATGATAGTTAAATTACAAAAATTTAACTATCATGATAGCATCTTTATGAGGTGTACACATTTTTGTACTAAATAATTTCAACGAATCTAAAGGGTTTAGGATATACTATCTACCATAATTAAGCACCTTGCTTAAAAACCCCTAAATAAAATTTTCATCAAAAGCCTGACGAACAAAATCTAGAATTTGATGATAAATAACTAAACCATTTCTCAACTCCTTCTCAACTTTCACTAGAATATGGGCACACCTATTCGCCTCTCGAAACATATGTGTGAGATTCACTTCCTTCAAAATAGCTATACTCTCTCTAATACAGAGCACCAAGAAAGGCACACCTCTACAAGAACTCTCCGGCTTCAAAATACTCTCCACAGCAACCATGGAACTAGTCTTGATTTTAACCTTCCTGAAACCTTTCTCAATAGAAAACTTAATACCTTCAAATATACTCCACAGCTCCGCAGAGAAAGCACTACATAACCCACCATCTTCGCAAAACCACCACACCACTCGCCATGCTCATTCCGTAAATCCCCCACAACTAGATAAACTACTCTTCTCATGCACCAGACACCAGACACTTCTTATCCATAACCTCCCCCTTCAATTCTATGAAACCTGATTTTGATTTACTCCAATGAACCTCATGCACCAGACACTTCTTATCCATAACCTCCCCCTTCATTATTATTGCATCCAAATACTCCTTTGCTCTACCTCTAATCATCTCCACTGCCCCTAAAGGTCTCACAAACTAATGCATATGTTTCTCTTTATTCCTCCATGTCCATAGCATATGACACCTAATAGCCCATAAATTACACCATTCCGTCTCGGTATAGATTATACCATCTACATTGAGGTCTATCCAATCCAACAAGTTAGTTTGAAAGAATTTTTTTCAAAAATATTCGGAACAATATTTTCCCAAACTTCTCTAGCTACTTTGCAGTCTCGGAGAATATGAAGTGCAGTCTCATTAACACAACCACAATTATCGCATCCAGCAGCACCCAAACCAATGGCACTCATTCTGGAGTTAGTAAGTAAACAATTTTGTTGAAGGATCCAGACGAAGCTTCTAACTCTTTCTGGCACCTGCAATTCCCAAATCTGACGACATTGCTTACTAATACTAGTCTCTATGTTACCTGTTAAGTGACGATACATACTACCAATAGTAAAAGAACAACTCTCCTTAGTAGCGATAACAAATTTGTCCTTCATCGAACCTTCTGTCAGAGGTGGAATAGCCATAATACTCATCTTGACATCAAGCGGTAACCACTCCAACAAACTCTACTTCTAATCACGATCTCCCCCCACCAGATCACTAACCCTAACACCAGCTTGATCTTGAGGAATATTAATGTTCAAATCAACTATACATTTGTCATGCTCCACCCACTTTTCCTTCCAAGCATGTGTATCCTTACCATCTCCTGAAATTCTGTTATGACAGAACTCAGATGTCCTATGACATGTTGGGACATCTGATTCGACATAAACAAATAGGTAAGGTACAAATGTTAAAAAAACAGTACTGAAAAGCATAAACAACACACCAGAATTGTTAACCCAGTTCGGAGCAACTCTCCTATTCTAGGGGCATACCAAGCCAGAGACAAATCCACTATGATAATATTAATTCGAAACTAAACTCGCTTGTTTATAAATTCTCACTTAATCACTACCCTTCCTAGACTTATATCTAAGACTCACCTAGATATGAGGCTTCTCCCAATCCCTCTTCAATCACAAACAGCGATTGAATCAACACAATTCTGAACAAACAGGAAGACACACTTTTATGATAATCTCTAGCTAATACTCTTGACTAAGACCACAACTTGGAGTTGTTTCAAAACTTTCTCTAAGAACAATACTCAACTCATTACCTACATGTTTTTGAGTGAGAACACAATGATCATATCACAGCCTGAATGGTTCACTTACACCAACTCTCCTAGAGAGCGGAAAAAAGACAAAGCTCTAGACTTCTACATCTTGAACTCGTGTCTTTCCTAGGTTACAAACACTTCTATTTATAACATATACCAATTGGATATGGACCTTCAAAATACAACATATTAGCTGTAACAACTAGCAGTAACTTCTGCTATAAACAAGGTCTTCAATCATTAGTTTTCTAAAATATCTTCATATTTGAAAACTGCATAATCTTCAATATTCATATTTGATTCTTCTTGACCTTTATATCAGAGCCATATAATATTGCATAATATTTTCAAAATATTTTCCAACAGTTAAATCATAAAAGAATCTAACTGCTCACTTCAGCTCAGGCGCAATGTCGTATACTCCTACATAGGACATCTTCTCCAACATGCTGTTCCAGACGTTGAAACACTTCAATTCAACATGTTCTAACATAAGATAGGACTTCTTGCTCAACCTGTTCTTATTAGCAAGTTAATACATATATCTAAAATATTGTTGCTATATTTATTTTATAAAAATTAATGTCAATCCTTAAAACTAAGGAACTTACAATCTCTCCCTTTGATAAATTTTGATTAAAACAAATAATTAAAAAAATAATATAATATTACAGTAATAAAAAAGCACCTACCAACAGTAGTCTTCAGCAACTATTAAACACTGCAGCATAACACCATGGAGTCAATCTTCTGTAAAGATGTTGGGACATCTTTGTTTGACATCTTATGTTCAACATTTTGAATGAACTTCATTGCGATGATAGCTTCAACACCAACGAACAACACCTTCATGAAAAGAAGTAGAAAGTCCTGAAGTATGTCGGTGTACATGAGGGAGAAGATAGCTTGCACTCCCTCTCAAACCAGGACATCTTTGAAAGACCAATGATGACATAAGAGAATCATTTCATATTTGATGATCAGCGGCCACCAGTATACCTAGATAAAACAACCATCATTCCTGGTAACTCAGAACACATGTCACAACTATGTTCATAACTCAGATCACAAGTCACAAAGCTTAACTCAAGCAGACATGGGATAGGACATTCTGTCCAACATCTTTGTGACTGATCTGGAACTAACCTCCCGAATTAATCATCCAAGCACTTTGATCACCTTTCTCCCTCTTTTTAGACAAAACTTGACAAAGGAAGTCTTCATTACATCATACCCAAGTACAACTTGCCCAAATACGAATAAAACCAATTATGATGATGAACACTCATATGATGAAAGAGAGCAGGAGAAACCTCTATAAACAGCTGAGTAGTTACTTAGGTATTAACGAGCTTTAAATAAAAACAAAGTTTCTTGGTCAAAGAGCTTGTTAAAGAAGGAGAAATTTTTTTCTAAAATCATTGTACCCCGTTTAAAACAGCTTTGCATGCCTTTATTATCTCAGGACGGTTTCTTCTGAGTAAAACAAGTTCCAATAAATGCACATCCTTAGTCAAACACGCTTACTGACACGAGTTTGATCGAGCTTTTCACCAAAACACCTTTGTTGATCACACAGGAGACATGTCTTGAATAATGTCCTGACATTCAGCCAGATATTTTTACTTGCAAAAACAATTTGATTAATACATCTTCAACTGTACTGTCTTCCGCTAGATTTTAAGTGTTCTTCTTTCACTTAGATTTTTAGTAGTTGTCTTTGATTTATATATTTAATTTTAAGTTGTTAAAGTTGTGAATTTATAAAATTAAAATTTTATTTTTAATTATTATCAAATAAAACTTTATTAGTTTTATATATTTAAATTATTTATAAAATTTAACACTTTATATATTAACAATTATAATTATTTGATATTATAACACTTCAAATAAAACTTTATATATTTAAATTATTTATAAAATTTAACACTTTTAAATATTCTGATTTGATGTTGTATAATACTTTTTACACTGACAACGCACTAGCATTAAACTCTAACATAAATATATATCAAAATTTTCATACCTTTTATTTTATTAAAAATTTTAGAACGAAATTAAAATTTAAAACTAATTAAAAAACATCATAAAATTAATTAATTAAATAAAAATAATAAGGATAAAAATTTCAATTTAATTATACTCTTGAAACTAATATATACTAGAATTATATTTAAAAAACTAAGTTTGAATTGTAAACTAAAATATAAAAAGAAATTTGTTAAATTTTTTATAAAAAAAAGTATTATTATTTTTTGTAAACATTTACATTTATTAAAATTTATTGTAAAAATAATAATAATACTTTTAATAGATATAAATGTTTACAAAAATATAAGATGGAAAGAAGAAGGCTACAGGCAAAATATAATACAAAAAAGAATCTGTAGCAAAATACGATGCAAATATTTCCTGGAAATTACCTATAGATTTTGTAATATGGTACGTTTTATTCAAAATATAATTTTAGCAGCAAAATTTCAGGTATTCCTGCGGAATTTCTCTGGATTCGTGTTCCGCAGGAAAATTTAATTATTTAATATAGTGGCAGGATATTCCGCAGGAATTCCTACGGATATGTTTCCACAGAAAATTCCATAGCTAAACTGTGTATGTGTATTTCTTGTAGTGTATACACAATGGAAAATACTGAATATGCTTAACAATGATTAAGCGAGTGTAGAAGCATTTCCAGCAATGTCCGGGTTCGAGCGTAGTCCAGCAATGAGGCAATTGAGAGTGGCTGACTCGCCATTTCGTTTAAGAGATGATGATGAGAAGGACAACCAGA